AGCTGTCATTAAAATTACATTTCAGCTTTCAATAACCATTTAATGAGTAGCGTAATTATATAAGTATGGTACCTCAAGTACTTCACTCAATAATTAAAAATAATCTCATCTTTAAAGTGAAAGCGCTATAATTATTATTTGACTTAACCAGGACCACTGTTATGATCTCCAGTGGCACCTCAGATTGTTCAAAGTGGTTTTGAAAGTATAAATTAAAATTGGATAAATCATTAAATTATTAAGCTTTAAATATCTGAAAATGAATATAGAGTGGAATTTGGAAGTCATGTTGTAAGAACTGACAACCTTAGACTGCAAGCATGTATTTGTGTTAAAATTTTCCTTGTCTTTAATCATGAAACACCACATTAATGATTGGGTATTTTATGTCAACTAGAACTTGAATTTTCACAATTATTAAATACCATTTTTAAAGACCTTAGATTAGAATACAAAGAAAATATTAAGCAGAGTGCAAACGTGTCAGCAAAGTGATCTATATCCATTTTGATACTTGTGAGCAGGGGAATGCACAGTTTGATTTCCTAAGTGGGATCACTTTTATCACCAATTCCTAAGCTGACAGCCATAAAACCCTTTCATAGTTGACATAAGATTAGTAAATAGTTTATTGCTATATAAATAGAAACATGCTGTGTACCCACAAGTAGTCATGCATGTGTGTACACACCGATATACATAGAGAGAAGACATTTTTTTCATATCAAAAAATGATACGTAGTTTAAAAAGACAAGAATTTGGATTCTGATTCTTTTTTAAATGTTAAAAGTACATCCGTGGAGTAAAGGAATTTCAGTTAAGCTTCTTGTCTTGGACCTTTGGTTGTTATCTGTTTCCCTGGTCTTCTCTATGAGGAATCCTGTACTGGATTTTTGTATCTTATGTAAGACAGCTGTTTTCAGAGCTGATTCCTTATTGAAGGAGATGATTGAGCAACCTGTGATCTCCAATGGTTCTTCACATGCTTTTCCACTCACTGAGCACTAGTGTAAGCTTAAGGAGCTCACTGTGCCTGCTATATACCCATTGCCTCTTCCTGCTCTCAAAATTAGTGGCTCTACAATGCTTCTTATTGTCAGAAGCAGAAACTATGTGCAGCACCTTAACAAAGCTTTTTTTTTGGAGTGAGGTTATATTACAGTTTGTTAAAATAAAAATACAAAATAGTATGCTACATCTATAGTATGTTTCATCTATTTTATGTCTACAGTCTCAAATGTTCTTAGAGAAGAAGTTACTGCAGGTGACAAACCGATGTGTTCTGTGTGAATCTAGTACTGTAATAAACATATAATTTACAACTCCTTCTCCGTGCATCTCTGAAATCCAAAGAAGATGACTTTTGAAACGTTCTTTTTTATTAAATGCATCAATTTCTAGTTATGCTAATTTCTTTTGAAACAGCTTCCAGCTGTGTCCAGTAGTTTCAGCTCCTAGCCACTTAAGTACCAACTCCCTTTAGCCCTGAGTCTCCATCTAAAAGCAAAGTCAACTAAAATACAGCAATGGAATTGATTTTTTTCCAGCAGAAAGAGTATTCGTTTCCAGGGAAAGGAGTTTCTCCAGTTAGATCAGCAGTTAAGAAAGATACTCAGAAGGTATTCAGTCCCTTTGAAGGAACTGCCTTGTTTTATTATCGCAGTAAAGCCCAATGACTCCTGTAGTGTTGGAAAGCTGGGCCCTGTAGCCTTCCTTATTTTGATACAAGTGCTACCTATAAAACTGGATATTTCCACTCCCTTTCTTCTGTAAGTGCAATAAGATTTAATTTAGTTTGTTGGGATTGGTTTTTTTGGGTTGGTTGTTTTTTTTGTTGTTGTTGTTGTTGTTTTGTTTTGTTTTGTTTTGTTTTGTTTTGTTTCTCCAGCTATTGCATTTGAGTTCAGAATCCTTCTTGGGATGTTTGGGACAGGATTGGTAGAGAGCATCTTTTTTTTTTTTCAGTGTAGCCTTTTCCATTTCTGAGGCTTGGGACCTAAAGATTAATATGATCCAGAATCAATTAACGTTTCTAAAGGAGACCACAAATTCAGTTATGAGAATCATGAACCTTATATTCATAACTCTTAAGTATATATATATACCCTAATTTGACTAGAAAGTTGAATCATTATCACTGCAGACGCACATGACCTCTGAATTCCATCCGGAGTCTACCAGACCTTTCAAACACTAGGATAACTGGAACTTCCCTGAGGAGAGGTGATCTAGGGCATGGACTCCCACAGCTTATTGTCATTAGTGAAATATGTGTCCAATTGCTCTTATTAATTGTTGACTAAACGCTTACCAGGATTTGCTGGAAAGTCTTTCAGATACCAGTAGGTGAAATTTAAGAAATCTTTTTAAGTTAATGAGTACTTTCCACTTTGTGTTATCATTTTTAGCAGTTTTAACAAAAGGCATTGAATCATCTGTCAAGATATTATTAACAGAAATATTTGTCTTAAAGAGAATGAAATAAGGGGGATGGGAAAGGCCATTTTACTAATTCATGTTTCTGAGAGTGCTGGAAGTACATAGTCCTGGACAGTTTTGATAGCGGCTACTAATGATAGTATGGAACAGCAAATGTGGCTCTCAGGAAAAAAAAAAACAGTAACTTGTATGAATGATATTTATTAATGGCAGGTGTACCATTAAGAATGCTGAAGTATTGAAGTGGTCATTTACAGAAGGGAAATTATTGGGGGTTTTTTCTGAAAGAATGTTTCAGAATAAAGAATGATACATATGGAGTTGTCTGTGAAGGACAGCTGACTGCAGCCATGTCCTTTAAGTCTTAGTGGATATCAGACCACAGATCCCGCCAAATTTTCCTTCTTGCGTCCTGATGAAAGAAAATATTTTTTACTGAAAATCTACTTTTCTTCACTAGTTGATCCTTTGGGCAGAACAAATGGTATAGAAGAAAGATGATAAAGGCCTTGAATTTTTTGTGATAGTATTCAAGTAGGAAGAAGATCTTGTTGCCATTCTTATGTTCAACAAGATCTTTTTTAGCATATAAACATAGCATTGTGAATGAGCTTCCTTTTCAGTCTGATTTTTCCCTTTTGAATTTTGAACCTTCCAGAACTACAATCTGAATAACAGAGCACGAGAATGTAGCCAAACTCCCATAAATAAACGTATGTGTTCTAATCAGTTCCATAGGTGAATTTCCCAGGCTCTTCTCTGTTTCTCTTCTGGACCTCATGTCATAAAATATTCTTTTCTCATCATAGCAGAGTATGTTTTGTAACAATAGTGGAAGAAGATTTTTTTTCCAATGGTTTGTTGATCCAAAATGAGTGAAGAGTGAAGGGAGGAATTGGCACTTCATACTTTATAAAATGCTAGATGTTAAGTTTCTGAATGGTCACTCTTGAATTACTAATTACAAATCTGGATCTAAGTAATCATTTCCTATTTCACACTTAAACAAACAAACACTTTCACACAACCCTGCCACTAAAATACAGAAATCTGAGATTTCACTGGGGACACGTTCTTTTGAGGGACATATTTTCATGGCACGTGGGTTTTTACTTTGATTTTGAAAGTTGCTCATCAAAAACAAACTGACTAATTTTGATTTTCACAACTTACTGTTTTTATTGGAAAATTTGCCACAATAGGTACCATCTCTGTACACTACATTCTTTGCCAAGGTAGAGTCAGGCCATAAGCATAAAGAGATCATAAAGACAGTTATTTTCATAGACTAAGCAGGTTAAACTATCAACTTGACCTAGTAAGACTCATCACTAAACATTACTTCCACATTCACATATCTCTTAAATAACTCTGGGGACAGGGATTCACTGATCAGCCCCTTCCAGCCCTCTCTCTGAAAAAATTCTTCCTAAGGTCCAGTGTAAACTTCCCCTGGTGCAACCTGAGACCATTTATTGTGTTCCACCACTTGTCCCCTGAGAAAAGGGTCCATATGCTTTTCTTTCCATCTTGTCCTAAGAATCTGATTCTGCTTTATCCACCAAGTTCTGTCACTCTCCAAAGACTTAGGAGAGGTGAAACAAGACTTGTTCACAGTTCTTGTGATGGTTCTTAATGGCTTTTATTATTTATCCACTCAAGTCTCTGCCTCGTCTACAAACAGAAGCATGATACTGAATATGATTCTCTTTCTGGACTTGCGGCTGATTGTTTTGCGGTTTGATCTGCTAGAAATACAGTGTCTTATTGTATCCATTTTGCTTTGAAGGAAAAGACAGAAAGAAGTTGGTATCAGTAAGCAGAACAGAGCCTGTAAAGGTGCCTGATGCTATCTATAAATGCATTAAGGAAATTCACAAAGACATAGAAGAATTATTAAGCTGCATGACAAGTTATGCAACAGTAAATAGTATGAAACAGAGCATGAATAAATTTTATTTGAAAAATAGAAGATTTTTTCTGGCTTTTAATAATCCTTCAGTAGAAGCACTTATCACATAGAAGAAGGACTCCTAGTGCTTGCTTTCTCTGTTTCACTCTGCTATGTATGCTTTTATGTCTCAAGACATAAAACCAGATGTTTTACAGACATATTACTTAGGTAATTTCAGAGAAACTTTGAACATCTGCTATGAAAAAAAAAAATACTGCTGTTACACAGTCAGCTCAACATTTTTCACAATATAGATGAACTTTTACATTCTTTGTAAAATCATAGTCATCTATTTATATGGTATAGCTCTTTGGCTTTATTCTAGTAAAATTGTATTTAGTAAGTTGAGAAGGGCCTCGAATGAAACTTGCAGTAATATTAAGTCTTAGATTGCCAGAACAGTCAGGCTCCAAATTGAACATACTGGCCAGTTGTTTCAGTTGCCAGCTGTAAGAATTTGAAGGTGCAAAACTGAGCTTTGACTAAGTAAGTTTTGTCATAAACTAAAATTAGCATGTGCAGTAAAATCGATTGTAACACTTATTGTATTATTTATTATCATGATCTGTGTTATAACAAAGGCTTCTCACTTCTGTTTTGTATTAGGAGGATCGAATGAGAATGGAAGCACACAGCACACCTCAGATTCTGCTGGAACATTTATTTCTTACAGGTTGGTAATTTGTTATACTAATTTTCTAATTTTAATAAGCTTGAATGTAATAAGCAACATAACCTATTTAAAGCAAAAAAGCAGGTCTGTATCTTTCAAGATTATTGTACAACCTAAATTGCAACAGTTAGTAGACTGAAGATGAAGGATTTAATTAAGAATTATCTGAAAAACTTGTTTTCTAGATTATTTTTTTCGAGACTTTTTTTCAAAATATTCAACTGAGGAAAGTTTTGGACATCTGAAAGCCTAAATACTTTTTTCTCTAAGGTATGCAGTAAAGTAGAAATTCTCACCTAAGTTAATAGAAGCTAAATGCTGAAATTTTTAAGTGATCAGGGTCACCTTTCTGATTTTCTCAAAAGTAACTGCATTTGCAGGCAAAATGGAACTCTATTTGTTGGTTACTACAATTAAAATATAAAACAAAACCATAAGATTTCTTAAATTCTGGGACTAATCTTTCAATTCCGTTAGTAGTAAATACCAGTTAAAGAAGTATAGTACTGAGCAGCTTTGCACAGCACTGTCAGTAAGCTTGAGTCTTGGTTGGATAAGTACTGGAGGATGTCTTGTACTTGAAAGCAAAGCAACGTAATTGGCAGATCTGTAGTTTCATCTTTCAGCCAGCAAAATACTGCCTCTGCTACAAATGCTAAATCTTTGTCCTTGTGACTGATAATTAATAGTAAGATTTGTGCTAACTAGAATTACTGCATCTGATTTCAATGCTGAAGCATGGGAAAATAAAGCAAGCCTACCATCATATTATTTTGTATTCACTGAAGTGAACTGTGATGATTGGCCTCTATTTCTTTCTCTGTTTGTAGTCTGTTGTAACTTGTACTTCAAGGGGATGGGGCAGGCAGGGGGAACTTGCCTGTTTGCCTTGTCCTGGCTATGGCTAGATAGGAATATAGCATGCTCCTTGGCCACCAAGCTGTGCTCAGTATGAGCAGTCCTCAGGTTGGGATGACCAGTGGGGACAGAAGTTGAGAACTTGTTGCAGACTGGTGACAGATTGCTGACAAAGCAGGGAGAAAGCAGGCTTTCATTGAGGATGTTAAAAAGAAAGAATTCTCATGATGACCCAGATGGAACGCAAAGAGCTTGCTGCAATTCAGACACCCAGAGAAAACTTCTGGGCTGAGAGCAAGGTTAGACAAAAGGATGTGCCTGCAGGGATGCTTTTGGCCAGTGGAACCAAATCCTTGCAATTTTCTGTATGCTAGTAAGTCCGTGGTTCTGTTTTCTGTTCTGATGAAACCCAGTTTGTATGATAAAAACCCTATGGGGACCATTAGGATGTCCATTTTAAGAATATTGTGTTAGCAGATCCATTTCAGGGTCCTGTCTTACTCAGTTTTGTCTTGTATTGTATTCTCTAACTTATGCAGCATACAATTTAATTTAAAAAGTGGGGTCAAAAATTCCGCTGAAAATATTTCCATGCTCTTCAGATCCAAAGCCTGTATAGATACAGCGACCATGTGCTGGTTTTGACTAGGAGAGAGTTAATTTTCTTTATGTCTCAAACATTGCTGTGTTCTGGATTTGTGATGAAAACAGTGTTGATTACACTGGGATGTTTTAGTTGTTGCTGAGCAGTGCTTTCACAGAGCCAAGGACTTTTCTGTTTCTCATGCTGCCCTGCCAGCAAGGATCTGGGTGTGCACAAGGATCTGGGAGGGTATGCGGCCAGGACAGCTGACCCAAGCTGACCAAAGGGATATTTCACACCATATGGCATCATACTGAGCGATAAAACTGGGAGAAAAGAGGAAAAGTCGAGGACGTTCACAGTTATGGTGTTTATCTTCCCAAGTAACCATTAGATGCGATGAAGCCCTGCTTTCCTGGAAATGGCTGAACATCTGCCTGCCGATGGGAAGAAGTGAATGAATTCCATATTTTCTTTCCTTGCAGGCACAGCTTTTGCTTTACGTATTGAGCTGTCTTTATTTCAACCCAAGTGTTTTCTCAGTTTATCTATCCAGTTCTTTCCCCCATCTCTGTGGGGTGGAATGAGCAAGTGACTGTGGGGCACTCATATGCCTGACGGTGTTAAATGTCGACAGGCCACGAAGCAGCCTCTCAAAAGGAGGCAGGACAGAATTTAGTCAGATCAACAAAAGGAAAATGTTGAGAGCTCTTCTCTGCCATTAATTCCAGGACACTTATAACTGAAAGCTGTTAACTCCAGAGACCAGCTGTTGTGCCTGCCAAAATTAAGTTTGGGAAAGAAACTGCAGCTAGACTCTGGTTCCATGAGTTATGCTGTGGGGCTGGGTTCCTAAACCCTCTCATCCTACCCCTGGCATTCACCAGTCATTGAGCTGGTCCAGTGGATTTGAACGAGCCCATCTGGGGTGAGTTTAGTGGTGATTTAGTTCATGCTGTCGTCCTCATGAAAGTTTGAGTGAGTACAAGTGTCAGGGGAAGGAAAGCAGCTAGAAATAAGTGGTTGGATGGAGAGTGACATCATTTCCTTTGGTCAGCCTAAACCATAGCAAATCGTCCAGTTGAGCCAGTCTGTGGTTCATTGATGGAGTGCAACCCAAGACATTATTGGTGCAGAATCCCATGGATTGATCAGGCATAAGACACCCAGATTGTACACTGTGCGGCATCTTCTTTGCATTGATTCAGTCAGATAGCTAATGGGCAATTATTCCAGAGCTGGAGAATTTGATGTTTAGCACTTACCTGTTGGTCTCAGGACTTACACTTATATGCTTATGGATCTTATGCATGTACCTTTTCAGTACTTTAGGAATTTTATGCCTTGTAAAAATTAATTAGGACAGTTCTTACAGTGTTCTAAACTTATTCCAGTGTTTTAAAACATCTTCAATGCTCCACAAATAAGCAGAGGATAAAGCTGGCTGTTGTATCTTCGTATTCCTTAGTCCAAAGTGAATATAATAAATAAACATGACGTTGACGATGAATTCCACTGGAAAATAATCATATTCTGTCAGAGAAGATTACAACACAACTTGCAAAACTGAAGTCAATTAACATTTTAAAAGGAGCTCCATATATCACTGCCAGAGTATTATTGTTGCAATTAGAGGCAAGATGATAAAGCAAGATAGTACAGTATGTATATGTGCATGTGCATATATAAATAAAAGAAACATCTAGCTTTTAATAGTTACCAGGCTAGCACCATTTTTAAGTAATTTTACAGTGTTTTAGTTATGAAATGAATGTTTCCTGCTCAGTGGCAAGTAACAGCCATCATACTATGAGACAGGCTGTAAATTTGCTGGTTGAGTTGAATATTGTATTGATAGTTACAGTTCTGGGCTGCACATTACGTAAAAATGAGCAGCTAACACCTTATGAAAGATTAAAAGTGAATCTTAAACTACCTTGAAAGTTAACGATGGTAAATGTAACGAAGAAATGTTATTTCTTTAAGGACTCATTAGAGATTTTGATTTAGCTGTCAACGAGTATTGTTTCAATAAATTACTCATTTCATAAAACTGATGATAGTCTAGTTTATCCAATGTGTTTCAGTCTACTCGACTTAAAAGAAATTGGCTAGTGGATTTTGCTGTAAAAGAGACAAGGTCTTCTGTGGATCTTGATAGATGTTATGATTGCAGAAGGCTAACAGATACAAATTCTATGAGAAATTTTCACTACTAAAGCTGTTTTAAGTTTTTTCAGTTTATTTAGGTGAAGAGGGATGTTTTAATATGGTGGTGTCATCTTAGAGTGTGTGGTTCTTGCTTGCATTGGTCACAGCACAGATTTAATGCTGCTTATGTTCAGATAGTAAGCATTTCCCTCCAGGTCATAAAGTTTCTAAGTAATGTAAGTGAAAAGCATGCGTGAGTGGCACATATTCCTAAATATTCTGCAAGTTTGAATGTATCCTGACTGGTCACAGAATTTTCTAATTGGTCTTCAGGTCCTGATGGAAAAGTTTGTACTCTTGAGAAGATGCCTTACTAATAAGATGCTATGGAAATTCTTTCCTAGAACTCTGTTATCAAAATTTGAAGTTCAGCATTAGAAAAAAAAAATTAAAATAGACATTTCATAATCTCTAAGATACTTGGGAAATTTTGAGCTTCAGTGTGCTGTAATATTTCATTGCTATGGATGAAGCCTTGTCTGGATGTGCAAATTGGCTGGACTTTGCCAGAAGGAAAAGAAAAATAGGTGTGGATCTCTAGTTTCAGTATCTGCAATGCAGTGCCACTGGAAAGTAGAAATACTGTCTTTCTCTTGCTTTCCCAAGGGCAGCTGACCTTCTCCTCGCCAAAGAGGTGAACCCCTTGCCAGCACATATGACTACAGACTATTACATTAATCTGTTTAGCCTCAGTACCAGCTGCTTGCATGTTTTTAATTATCTTATTAGATGGTATAACAGTGACCTATGAAATAAAATGAAGGTGAGTATTTTTTAACTTTATTTTACAGGCTATTTTTCTAAATATATTTTAATGACCTAATTATGACTTTTAGGGAGAGCCATTGATGCAGACATTCAATTTGGCTGATAGAATCTAACATCCCAAGGACACTTATTTTCTTCCAAGGTGGATTTGTACATTAATACTGCTTCTAATAAATATATTGCCTAAGAAAAGCTCTCTTTTCATACTTGCATTGTTAAACTTACTGTATGATTCAGAGACCCCTGACTACTATGCTGATAATTTCTTACTACATCTCTGCACTTTTATATAGATTTAATTTCTACCCCACGTATCAGGATTAAGTTAATTTATGTGTGGCTTAATTCCATGCTTAAACATGTAAAGATTGCACAAAGTTGTGGGATATGTAGTCAATATATATTCTTCCTTCCGTTGATATTTAACCTAGGCAGTAGATTTGATATAAGAAATACTTGTTCCATTTTCTTACCCTGACTTCTTACAGATATTGCTTGCCAGATGTTTTCTCTCTTACTGCAAAAAAGCAATGTGGTCCTGCTGGCTGAGGCATGTTTCTTGCGCACCAGCCAACAACTA